TTTGAGGTAAGACATTATGTGTTCCATTCACTGCAGTTCTGGTAACATTTTTAATTATTAAGCTCTATCTTAAGTGGGCAGTTGACCTTAGAAATGAGTACCAAGCTTTGGTTAGGGACACCCTCTCAGATACAGTTTAAAACTGAGGAAAGCCACATCACAAGTATGATAAAGAACCCACTACACTTATTGAAAAGAGAAGGCAGCCATCCCGGTGTAAGGGTTCAAACCTTACAGTCTGGTTGAGATATTTTATCAGTATTGCCATACAATTGGGTCTGGAAGTTTGTATCATGGAAAACTCTGTTTGCCCACAGGTGGAGTGGAAGACATCCAATGCCTCCAGGAAAGGCTATACCCAGATAGGATGACTAGACAAGCAGGACCAGGAGAGACTACTGTCTGACTCAGAGGAGGAGCAAGAACGGACACTTGAAGCTGCCGGCTTCTCCCAGGGACTACTCACATCAGTGCTGTAGGGGACAGGTCATTAATGAATGTGGTAGGGGGAGGGCTGTACTGAAAGATTTCTTTCTGTGTACATACCAGTGTTCTAGCCAGCATTCGTCTATCCTGCTACTCTATTTGACAGACAAATTTCCCCAATCTGTTGTCTTTGGCAGACAAAAATCGGTGTGTAATGATATGGAAAGAGCATGCCCCAGACCCCCAACTTGCATCACATTGACATGATGGAAAATTGAAATGATGAATGAAAAAAAAATTCATGCTGACGAGAACACTTCTGATGCACACATCGATTTTTTTTTAAGGTCTGTTTCCTAAGACATTTATTGTCATTTGTAACATGAAAGTACAGTTATTATTAGATTTTGCAGAAAAATTGAATATAGATCTATAAAATGAGATGTACAAAACTTGATGTACCATGATATTTCATATGAAATAAGGAAAAAACAGTGGAAATAGAAATTGTTATGCTGCTATTGTGCATAAATACACTCAGTGTTCGAGAATTCTGCTGGTCCACGTAAAATTCAGGAATTTTTTTTTCTTGTTTCTCTTAAATGTATGCAGGTACATGCACAGGATCATGAGATTTACTTCTAGTAACTGTATATATATTCTTTTATTGCCAAATACAATGTATACGGTAATATACTCTGATTCCTGATTTTTTTGGCCTTTACTATTTACTATTTAGATGTCACTGTTTACTTATTCTGCTGAATTAGATGAACTTTTAATGTACTTTTGAACATGGTATAAAAAAACGTGACAGTGCTGCTAAAGCTACCACAGTATCCGCCATTCTGGAAAAATGCCTCCCATTAAGAATTTTTTTCCACATCCACGTAAACTGGCTAATGTACACGTTCTAAGTCTACTGCACCTCTAGGGTGTAAATGTGTATATAGCTGTTATGGAATTTAATTGTACTTGAATGTATGAGATGGCTATTTGTATAGTCTTGTAATTTTGATCAACAGCAAAGAATAAAGACTATTTGTCTTTGATTTCGTCTTCAACTTTTTCTTGTTAACAATCTAGCCAGGCCTAGTATAATCTTACGAAAGGCACAAACTTAATCCTAAAGTTCAGCCAACATCAGTGAAAAAGCAAAGAAATTAAATACATGAAAAAGGGAATATTTTAAGGCCACTCATTGGTCAAACCTTCAATTGCCATTCTCTCATTGGTTGAAACGCCAATTGTGATGGATAGGTCAACTCACCTTAGCTAGAACACATCTGCCTCGTGACGGAATAGTACACATGGACTTTGGACCCGTGTAACTTCATTCAGTCTACAGAAAGCAGCAGTTACCGGCAGTCCCCTCTCCCAACATGGCGGACAGAGCGACCATCAATGTTGTTATTTTGGGTTTATCGTTTATGTTTATTTTCACCGCCTTCAACACTGCTGGAATGATTGAGGTACGTGATGAATTTATGGTACATTCTTGATCTGACCTTACTAATTGAGCGGGTGAAACACCGGCATCTAGCATGCCAAACTTTGACCTTGGGCCTTCAGGTTAGGTGCCGGCCAGGTCACCCCGATAACTGCACACGTCGTGTACGATGGCAAATTAAAGGCATCCATGTGATAGTCAGAGAAAGGCCTGTCACACATTCACGAATTTGGCCGCATACGGTAGGCCGAGTGTCCCTTCGCCAAGTCGGAGTAAGTCGGCTCAAAGTCGGCTGTGTCAGTGGACTAGTGTTCAATTTACGTACGTAATGTTCGGCAATTCGGCTACTATTCAGCTTCGACAACTGCAATGATAAAACTTTATGTTGTATCCCTTCTTCCACAGTTTAAGTTGTTTTCAACATACCTACGAGGAAGGAAGAACTTATACGACATCCGTGAAAACGGTTTTATACGTTCTTCCTTCCTATGAATCCTCGTATGTATGCTGAAAACAACCTAAACTGTGGAATACTGGTGTTCAGCTGTTTTCCTCCCTTTACAGGAAACCGTCATTCAAAGTGTTCAGGAGGAAGGAAAGTTTGATGGAGGCAGTGGTTATATCAGGTATATACGAGTACCGATGTATTAAGGCCGGGAATATTATACATGTGGACAATTGCAAACGGAGAGCATCTTTGTCGTCCATGCATGCATTTTCTCTAAATAAAAATGACACTATATGTATATTCAAATACAAATGAATGTTGAAGTAAGATTGTTATGGTCCTCTCTAGGTCACAACTAATATACAACGACGTCTTGAATAAGGTGACTGGACATGTAATGGTGCCTCTCTGACACACTAGTTATATATTTATACCTCCACTACAGTTTGGCCATCATCTACACAGTATTTGCCATGGCTAACTGGGGAGCCCCGTCTGTGGTCAGTGTGTGCGGACCTCGGAACTCCATGGTCATCGGAGCGGTCATGTACTGGTGAGGCCTTGAGACTGGCTACACTTCCTTCCTTACAATATCCTATATCTCAAGTGAATCCAATAACGCGTAGGACATCAAAAATTATTATTAAAAAATACAGATACTCCTGACAAGATGCATTTAAAAGGATTGCACACGAAAAGGGTAAAAGTAGAACGATCAGGGTAGAACGGCAGTATGCTTTAAAACTGATGCTATACCAGTCATGCAAGATAATGTAAACATTGTTTCTCTATCAATATCTGGCATGGTGTCGGTGACTTAGCTAATTATTTACGATGGACTAAGATCATTTCTTCTTGTCTTTGCAGCCTCTTTATAGCCGTGTTCATCTACCCGATGGTCTGGGCTCTGTACGTGGGGTCTGTGTTACTGGGACTGGGCGCATCGAGTAAGGCTAATACATGCTGTAGTTAGATGTCCTTTATGTCAGGTGTGTACATAGAACTGTAAAACAGTTAAATGACTTCTGTTTCTTCATTAGCAATTATACTAATTTATAGCAAGGCTTGATGATATTTTTAATTTAAATCCTGATTTTGTACCAGTTCTTTGGACCGGAGAAGGTTCATATCTAACGCTGAACTCGACACCAGAAACCATCGGACGGAACAGCGGCCTCTTCTGGGCACTACAGACTAGCAGGTGAGATCAACCTTCCTGGATAGTGTTGTACATTGGTGATATTTTACAGTCTAACTGTTTTACATTCTGAGGGGTTGCGACGATAAACAAAATAATGTTCTCTTTCAAACATTAAAAGCTTAAGTCTCCTGCAATACACAGTTGTTGGATTTGGTTTTCTTTCATTGTCCTCCAGTTTTCTGTTTGGGAACGTTTTTGTCTGGCAGGAGTTTACAGGAAAAGAGATCATTGATCGTGAGTCGCATTCTTTTTATTCTACATATTAACAATTTAATATTGATGGTGATTGATGCACAGTTTGTACAGATAAGAGACGTGGTTGCAGTTTTATCATGACCCGCTAAGTGGTGTTCGCACGCATATGCATGTTTTCACCTTTAATCTTCAGCCAAAACCCGAATGCAAGTGTACGTAGTGAATCAAACATACACAACATGACTACTAGTGTTTTTAATGATGGCACGGCAGTGCAGTTTTGCCATAACCTACTAGGCGTGCTCTTACCTGTGCTTATACATCTTATCTCCAGCCAAAACCCGTATCCAGGTGTATGTGTCACTACTAGTGGTGTCCTGTGTGGGAACCCTCATGTTGTTCACACTGAGGAACAAGAAACCAGGAGATTCAGCGTCTCTGAATGTCAACAGGTTTGGACAGGGACTTTATGATTGTGTTTTTAATAAATTACTGTTTTTAAACAACTCAAGGTCCAATTTAGTCTTCTTGAAATAATACGCATCTGATATGTGATGGAAATGTTCTTTCAAACAGTGAAAACGACGTCGAGACTAAAGAGGGACCACTGCAAGCTTTCAGTAAGTTGAAATCCAATTTCATTGTTGTTATGTGGTAGCCTCCAAATATTGTTGTCACTTTTTATAAATTTCGTTTATTCATACATATACGTACATATTGAAAAGTAATTCAGTATTATTGTTATCGAACGTCATAAAATGAATATTGTTTTACAGAACGGTCTATACAACTTTTCAAAACGAGAGAGATGCTTCTTCTCGGGATATGCTTTGCATACACGGGTAAGATTACATGATTACAGGTCCTACATGTATATACATTACGTCCTGGATTTCAGTATATATGTGTTCTGCTGAGGTGCTCCTTTAATTTAGCTTTAAGTTGGGTCATGTTGATTTGATTATATATGAATATATGGATGACATCCGCGCGCGCATGAATTCTCGTCCGCGACTTTTTCTTGCCAAACTTTTTTTTTTTATTCGCACGCTCGCATCAGTTTTGGGGCTCCCAGAGGATGTCATCCATGTAATCAAATCACTGGCCTTATCTTGATTATATGATAACGAAATTATTATGAAATTGCATTCTACTTTTTTTCAGGATTGGAACTGAATTTCTATAGCGGAGTGTACGGTACATGTATTGGGAACACAAAGGCCTTTGGTGACGAGGCGAAGTCTCTCATAGGAATCTCAGGTGCTTTCCTCGGTGCAGGAGAAATTATAGGTAAATAAAAACACTATACTGTCAGATCATACCAGAAAACAAACTAGCTTTCTACCAAAAGGGAAGCAGTAACATAGACTGATGGACATTGGCTGAACGTTTTAGTTATACTTGCCTTTATTTATGATTTAAAAAAAAGAAACACGAAAAAATGGTTGTAATGGAAAAAAATTATACAACTTTCTCAAATAAACTCAGACAATATCTGGCTAAATTACAAACCGTCAGTTAAGAGCCTCTAAAACCCTGTGTAACTGATGCTGTGTTGCAATGATAAAATTTGATACCTAGCAACTTTTATTTTGGGGCATTGTATACGTAGCAACTGCAAATGTTAGCATAATGACAAATAATTTGGATGGTCTATGCTTGAATCTACTGAACATTTTATCCATAAACATTCCTGACTCTAACGAAGGCGGAGCTGCGTTTGGTCTGAGCGGGAAGTTAGCTAACCGCCACGGGCGCGATCCCATCATTCTGCTGGGGTTCCTGGTCCACACCACGGCGTACTATCTCATCTACATCAACCTGCCGCAGTCTTCACCCATCACAGAAATCGTCACTGATGCCAGCTACTATCCTGTACTCATACAGTCTAAGTACGTCCTCGATGTATATCTCAAGTGCATTAAAGTGCCCAATGCAGGGCCAGGGCTTGAAAAATAGATTTTGGAAAGGCAATATTCTAGTCACTTATCTACATACTACAGCACTATTCCAATATATCGGTATTTGTGGAGCAAACATGACGAAAATTGTGAAGAAAGCAGTTACTGGTAGAATCGCACGCGCGCTCGCGCGCACACATCATAACGACACACACACATGCGCGCGCGCGCACACACACACACACACACACACACACACACACACACACACACACACACACACACACACACACACACACACACACACACACACACACACACACACACACACACACACACACACACACACACACACAGACCATGACAATAATGTTTTTGTTCCACCATGATAGTAAGTACGTGGCTGTCCTGTGCGGTTTCCTGCTGGGACTCGGTGACGCCTGTTACAACACTCAGGTGTACTCCATCCTCGGCTCCCTGTTCTCTGAAGACAGCGCGGCGTCGGCATTCGCTTTATTCTTCTTTACTCAGGTAACATATTGGGTTATTCAAACAATAATAGCTTGAACGCTTTTCTGCTCTATGATTAAAAAAAGGAATTAACCTGTAAACGCAACGTTACATACTGAATCAGCCAGTAAAACAATGAATCTGTTATGTTCTCACCCGTTTTTCAGCAACTTTTGTTTGTAACAATAAATTGGAGATTTTAAACCTCTGAGAGGTGTATACGTAGTTGAAGGGATTGTATGAGGTAACTCAATCGGGTATTACACATGTAAAGTCATCACTTCCTGCATTCCCCCTCGTACTACCCACTTACTCCCACCCGGTGCGCTTAGTTCCTTTCAGGCGTAACGTCAAATACTAGCTATAGCATTCATCCACTCCCTGAAACTGGGCAAGCACACACACAAACCCACAGACACACCCAAAACAATGCCTTCTGTTACAATGCCTTCGACTAGGGTTATCTGGATTGCATTTATCCTGTTTCGATTCGGATTCTTCTGTTTTCCAGTCCCTGACAGCAGCAGCAGGGTTTTTCTACAGCACGTACCTGATTTTACAATGGCAGCTGCTCATAGTGGCGGTTTTCTGTGTAGCGGGAACACTGGCCTTCTTTGAGGTAAAATGTCTACAAGTCGCCTTTTTACATAATGACAACCGATCACAAAATAAAATAAAAATAAAAATAAAATATAAACAAAATTAAAACATGAATATGCACATATTTGCAGCCACTCTCTCATTTGTCACTCTCTCAATTGCTACGCTGTCATTGGCTGAACTGCTAATTAAAATGGACAGTCAGCATCGGCTGAAACTTGGCCCATCGACACTTTCGACTAATTTCAAGAGCCATGATTATTACATGCATTACAATAATATATATATATACATGAAAGAAATTAACTACTTGAATGAAGTATAGTAATAAAAAAGAATGCATAAGCAAAGTAGCTTGGTGTATTGATGAATGTATCACACCATTTGAATTAAGGTATACAAGATTTGTGAAAAGTACTCTGGTGTATCTTTGATCTCACCACAAATGATATCTTACTTACTACTAAAAATCTTGCTTACTACAAATGATACTTACTGTTTTCCTGACGTAGGTGGAGTGGAAGACCTCCCGTCCGTCCAAGGAAGGCTACACCCAAATCAACTGAGAAGTTTATTTATCATTAACATGATTATTTTCGTTATGAAAATGTAAAGGGTCATGATTTATCCCCGAATTTGGGTTGTCTAAAATATTCTTTAGGTTTGTTATAGTTTGTGTAAATTTAATGAGCACAAGTAAACAAGTAAAATAGCTGTGCAACTTGGGAACCATGAATAGCAAAGGAAAGTAAACATTTGTCCATCATAAGTGTTGTGTTTAGATTTGGTGAATAAAAAGTCTTCAAGTGAAAAGGTATGGTTCAACGGAGCCTTTTTCCTCGTTATTGTTGCCAGTCTTGGAGTCGATTGGTTAGATTAAGGCATGCCCATAACCAAGCAACCAGAAAAATAGAATGAAACAACAGAGCGTAAAGTATTATCTTCGCAAAGACAAAAGGAAGTAGAGAGACTACATTGATACAGATACATGTCGAAAAATTCATAGAGCTTAATAAGTATGCTTTGTGTTTTCACATTGGTTATGACCAAATTGCTAGCCTCTGTGAAACTTTGTTACTCCATGAACCAAAAGACAGGTTTATACAACCAAGAAAATATTTCATTTTACACCTCTCGTAGCTCCACCACCAAACCTGCGCATGCCGGAATTTTACGGGTGCGGCAGCGCCCCCTGTCCAGATGGCATGTACTGCAGGGAGGTCGACGATGGCGGATCGTTCTCCTGCTGGGCCGACTGACAACATGGCGTCAGAGCCGATATGATTGTTTGTTTGTGTGTGCTCTGTACCTTCAAAAATATCTTACTTATGAACACGCTTCAGTAGAAGTACAATTAATTAATTTTCATGGTTCTCAGTGGCCAATATCGAGATGTTGTCACATCGGCGCACCAAATCCGTAAGGTGTTTTTGGCAGACAGATTAGCCTAAGAGGCTCGGTGGGCGTCACTCCACCGTATAGGTGGGGAAGTCGTGTAAAGTGCCTTTCCTAAGGGCACAACGTCGGGCCACGGTGAGTATCGAACCCGGGACCTCTCGGTTCCGAGTCCAACGCTCTAACCGTTGCGCCACCGACGCCACGACGAGTAGAAGTACACGTTTGTCTTAAAACCATACTATGGACGTAAAATATACGTTTACAGTCATCTTTTCTGTTCTTTGCACATTTATGATGTTTATTTTCCTTCAGGTTTGCTTTTCATGATTCATGCATTAAAAGAGTACCACCACAAGTAAAAATACTTGTGGTGGTTTATTCTTAAGTTCGGATTTAGAAACACCTTCCAGAAACACCACACACAACTCAAGAATAACATCGGGTTAAAACATCAAGATAGATAGTAGATAGACTGGTGACCAAACCCATCGTCACTAATTCATCTAGACTGATAAGTGATAGAGTGACAGGAAACTGATAAGCTGATTATAGCATGTTTCTTTACAACGTACACAGTTACACGGATATTGTCTACATCAGTTCAGTAAGTGTTCGAAAAGAGAATGCATCCATTACAACTAGTGTCAGGTGATTCCATGACGAGGTGTAACCAGTTTTCTTCTGGCAATATTTACTGTACATATTGTTGAGTGTGTCTGTTTATGATGAATTTACAGTCACAACCATCACTAGCAATGAAAATTAGGTCAAATAAAGTTTCTGATAAGCACAAAACACATCTAAATCTCTCACATGCAAACTTGCTTTCATTTCTAAGCATATTTACAATGTATGAAAACTTAATTTTCTAAGTAGATTTAGCCCAAAATTCAACAGCCATGTAGCAAGATGATAATATATACATGATGATACAATTTGATAAGAACTTTATACCAAGTGGTGAGTCGTCGATACTTGTTACAACTATTACAGCAATAAAAAGTTTCTATGTATAAACAGACCTTTGGCTGATATATATATACAGTACTAATTAATGATAAATAAACAACTTCAATTGCACAACATCATCTGATAGTCAAGCAGGCCTTCCTGCTTTTTTTACAACCATGTAACCGCCATTATTAGTGTAGCAGTACAGCGCCACACATACACTCAGATACTTATAGATATATATGGGAATGCACGATATAGGTACCGTAAAATGCTGTTCTAGGAAGATTTTAACATGCGCCAGTCTAGAATAAAATGGTAAAATGGTCGGTAAGTTTTAAACTGTTCTAGGAAGTTTACAATGAGCATCTGTTCTGCTCTCATGCTGACATGTTGGGTCAGCTGTGACTGGAGTTTGATACAACCGAACCGTGTTAGAACCATTATACCACATTGAGATTCAAGAGGCATATGCATAGGACGAAAATACGAATTCGAAATGATTATGCATTGGATAAAATGCATATCCATTTTCAGACCTTAAAAGAGGTTGCTTGGCCTTCAGGATGGTATTCAAGGCCCTTGAATAGCATCCTGAAGGTCAAGCAACCTTAGGCCGTTCTATTCATAGCAGTGAAGGTTGTCACAGCTTGCTGCTGGCTTGTCAGACGGAGTATCAGTACATTTGCCAGGCCGGCAACGATTAACGGTGAATTAAAATAGGCCATAACGGTTAACGGAAAAGCCCTCTTTAAACAGATAAGGGTAATGGGGGAGGCTGCGCATCAGTGCATTTGCCTTTTGGGGGGAGTGGAGGAGGTTGGGCATCAGTGCGTTTGCCTTTTGGGGGAGAGGGGGAGGTTGGGCATTAGTACGTTTGCCTTTTGGGGGAGAGGGGGAGGTTG